TAGTCAGCCTACAGAGCCGAGCAGTCAAAAGTGCTGTGGGTTGCTTTTTGAGTTCCATTCTTCACTTCGAGCGCTTGCATCAACACAATATTGTTCAACCAAACAGGAATGGGGGCAAGCCAGTTCTGCCAAAACAGGACCGTTTGCTTCTCAACCTCCTGGCGATGAGCTTTGTAACATGCCCGAGAGCTCGATTTGGCAGACATGTCAGGCATCGTCTCGCAAACGTCCGCATAAAGCCCAACCGCAGCCGGTGTAATACCATTTCTTCCAGTCGCAGAGCTTCCATGTATCTCCAAAAGCTCCTTTCTGATAGGGGCACTCTATGCAATGAATCGCCAACCCTATATTGTCACAGCATTGCAGGGTGCCTTTGTCCTGTTCGTGCACCACTAGAGCAGACGTTCGGGACTTCAGGGCAGCTGTCGCACGTTCATAGACCCGCTGAGCATAGCATGCGGACACCGTCTGGAAGACATAGCGATCACCTTCTGCGCGGTACTTCCAAGAGCCCAAGAGGTTGGTCATGATGCTCACATGCAACGACGCAAACTGGGACAAGTAGGCTCCAGCTGTGGTTTTGATCGCACGGTCCACCAGAAAGACCTCCCCAGCATCGCATCATGCACTGCTTTGAGGTCATCGTGCATTCGATCTCTGGTCTTGTTTGACATGTGTTTGATGGTGCCATTGGGGAACTTTTTCGAGTTCTTGTAGGCTGTTGCATTCAACGCCCACAATCGGGTCTGATATCCCTGAAAGGTCGCTGTCCAGATGTCCGCGAAAGCTTCATCCAATTTGTCGCTCACGAATTCTTGAACAAAGGGCTTCACCTGTTCCCAAACGCAGCGGCCCCAATCTTCAGCAAAGGTGCAGGGATTTTCTGGAAGCCCACCTGCGCTGGGAAAGAATGCACTGATGAAAGCGCCCACGAACGCAAAAGCAACAGTGCCCCTGAGAGCAATAGCCTTGGCACTCTTGAGAATCTCCTTGAGGATGTCTGATGCAGCTTTTGCTGCAAACTTGCCTGTTTTCATTCCATACTTCGCCAATTCGTTCTCCTTCTCATACTCTATGACATTGGTGGTGCAAAGGCTCGCATCGCTACACTCGCCTGAAAACTTGCTTACTGGCATCCATCAAAGAGTCAAAACCGGTCGACTCTCCTAGTAAGCACCCTTCTGGTGGTGTGGCAGTGTGGCGAGGAGAGGGAAGACAGGTGCTACCTCTTGGCAGTGCCAGAAAAGGGTTGGAAGGTTATGCCAAATAACATCACAGTGCAGTACCCCTGGGCATTTAGAAGGACATAGAAGCGAATTAGACAGAATCTGTGGTAACCTGTTTTCAGCTTGTTTTCAACCAACATGTTTCGTCGCCAAAATAACCAACGATTTTTTGAAGCGTCCAGTGTCCAGCCTCGCAAGGACAGTAAGGACACCTCAGAATCTGTCTGTCCC